TCAGGCATTCTATCGTTACAATTCTTTTTTCAAAGAATATATTAAGGTGCCGAAAAGGGTTTGGTTTTTTTGGATTATTGTTAACAAACAGAAATTTTAAATTATAATAATTAAAACAACCACAAATTATGCAATACTCTAAGCAACCTAATCGCAATTATAATAATTTTACATAAATATTAATAGAATCAATATTTAAATAAGTAATAAAGAAAATTAAAAAAACCTATATTACGTATATATCGCATCAGGTCAACGAAATTAATACCGAACAGTGGCTTATTGTAACTAGATCTAAACACACACAAAGGCTTTATACTTAGAACAACGGATCTTAGTAATAACGAAATAACAAGGCGTGCGATAATTACAATAAATTAAGGGTAATTTAAAGTAATAGAGGTTTGAACTTAGGTATGTTTAGGGCCAGCAAAAGAGCCAATTTTCGTATATTTTTCAAAGAATTAAATCATTATTATAAATTTTCAATTTTGGTTATAAATATATACGACTTATTATTAAGATTAGACTAGAAATAAAAAAAAGTGTTTAGTTTAGTTTGGCTTTTAGTTTTTTTGGCAATATTGATGTAATAATATCATTAAATTAAATATTGGAATTCAAATTCATATCGGAATATCACCAATTATACGACATTGCAGTCTAGTTACACATAATATTGCACCTTTAACGAACACCGCTCGTACTCGTAAGAATATTGGTTACAAAACCACGCGTGGTTTCCGACAGAATAATTGATCTTATTACTGAGAGGTAAATGGATATGCACTTAGGTCTATGACTAATTAGCTTTCAGACCAAAGGAAGAATGATGTATTAATCGAGTGCATATATACTATAACGTAAAGGAAATGTAAGCTACAAATATAACTAAACGTGGTGTGATTGAAATTTATTCATGACATATAAGTATATTATTATTAATGAAGCTATGAAAAAGTACCTATAGTATTTTATTATTTATGATTTTTAATATAATTTGTTACACTTTATAGTGTTTTTAACATACCTGATATCCTGATTCCTGATTGGAGTAAGTGGCGTATTAAATAATTACACTCAACTTATTTGTACCGGACGTCTTACACTGAATTAATTTTATCCGTGCGAATACAATCAAGAACTACATCACTGTTCCAAATTACGAAACGCGAGTCAGTCTCACTCGAAGCCGGCTACACTGTTGTCTTTCAATACATAAACAAACCGACTAGCAAACTGAAGCTAGCTACGAATACCGGCATTACCACATGTTCCACAAACGCTCATCTGAAAATATTCACAGAAATCTTTAATTACGAGCCGTATATCAAAGACATCTAACTCGTTTGGTATTTCTACCCGAATATAAGGAAGTAATAGGTTATTTATAGAATGTTTCAGCCTAATAAAAAGACAAGTAAATTTTGAAGGGAACACCGAGTAGGGGTCATATTAACGCTAGCGGCGTGACGTACGGACAGCTTCCGCGGCTGCGCTTTAAGGGGCAGGCGCCGTTCATATCTGGACCAATTTGTACACTGTGACCTTGCAACAGAGTTCATTTAAAAATGCATTGTTTTCCCTAGGAGCTTATCTAAAACTGCTTTTGAATTTCCCACTTTAAACAGAGGCGATAAGGCCGATTTTCAAACCTTCGGTACAATTACTGCAAACATACATCACGTGCATGGGGGCCTAATATGTGATTGCAGTAAGCGCACCCCTCGTGTCATATAGGATTTCCAGCGGCGAGCATTTTATTATTCCAAACACGTACTTTATGCTTGGATCACAAAGGAATTAAATATATCTAGAACAAAATTGCTAACGTATTTATTGCTGATTAATGTGTTTAATATATATTATTGTGCTATTAATGCAAAAGTATGGATGCGAGTTAATCAAACACATTATAACGTCTGTTAATATTAATATAGATAGATCATAATTTATAGTTATGAATACTGTATAACTTACTTTTGAGCTAAATAATATACTAGTGTCGAAGAACGGTTAGTTTCAGTTTCAAGAAATCCACAAGCATTAGGTCCTCGATTAGGTCTTAGGTCCAGGATTCGTATCTCAAGTCACAACCTCGTCTTGAGTCCTGACAAATTTCATACGGTTAAAATGATTCGACAGTCCCTTTAACAATATTAATGTTGATTTTTTCTGCGATTAAAGACGGAACTTTGAACTTTCATGCAATAAGATTCTTTTTAGAACACGTACAATTAATTAGCCCTACGGCTCTATATCTCGATTGATTATGTATTGCCCTACCGTGTTTTGTACAAAGATTTGTAACGCCAAAAATTACAAAACAAATTGTTTCACTGCGAAACTAACAATGCTTGAAATGAATTTTTAGTAAATACACGTAGGGGTTAGTTTACTTAATTTTTTTCTTTGAAGGCATTTTCTCTAGAATTTAAGGATAGCACTAAAATATCAATCTAAAATGCCATCCTGAAATTGAGCTCAACGTTACGCCTGATTAGTTTCGAAATTTGTATCAAAATATTAAGCCAACAGTCAGACTAAAGATTATTTAGTATTAAGAGGTGATGATATAGATAAACCTGGCAACCCTAACGATGCGGCTGAGATCTGGCAAAAATTTGGTTTAAAAATCATTTTCATTAAAATGACTTAAAATTTATTTAAAAAACATTAAGTCTGTAAATATTTTCCTCCCTTATTCATAAAAACCTTTAGTTAAAACGTTGGCAATTACACTATTATTTTTATAAGAGCGTTAGTAGATATAAATGTACAGGGAAAAGTAAATAAAAGAAATGTTGAATAGTTTAAAATTATTTTCAAAATACATTTAAAATAATGAACAGACGATTTATAAATAAATTTACACCTATAAAATGGCAGCTTGGTCAGGAATGTTCAATTTAAATACGTTTTACTTAGGGTCTAATAATAATTTAATAAATGCACGATATTTGGCTAAGTCAAAAATTTAACATCTAAAACTTTGATATGGATTAAAAATTTATTCTTACAGCGGTAATGTCAATACTGAAGATAAAAACAGCATAATATATTTGTGCTTGTAAAACACCCGTGTATATCAAATAAAATACAAATATAAATACAAACAGCTAAAAGCATACAAAACCTAACTAATTAGAACAATCGCATTAAAATTTCGCGATATTTTGACATAATAAGCACTTGTAATTCTTTGGTATATAATCGATTTGGTGTTTCCTGTTTTGTATTTAGCTCTCGTACACTTAAAAAAAACCAAAAAACATATTATTTAAATTAGTTTAGTGACTAGATAAAACATCTTTGGCATATAAGAATAACCTTATGTGATTTCAAAAAAAAAAAAAGATCAGGTACATTTTTTGCCGTATTTCTGCAAACGGTTTTTTATAATTCAGCCTTTTTTATACGGCAATACTTACTCTAGCAGAAAAAATGGACAGAAAGACTTGGAATTCACATTATTCGAATGGGTGTATGAACTCTTCATCCTTTAAATTTCAACCCAGTTGGAACTACTGACTTATGCCAAATACTTTAAAAAACTGGTATTCATAAAAATGCGAATGAGTAAAGAAAGCATTTTACAATCTCTGCTTTAAGTTATACAAACATTAAACACAAATATTACATCTATCGCAGTTTGATTGCGAAATTTTTTTCCGTCTTTGGAGATAGATTTTGGTCCTTCGGAATTTTGTATTAAAAGGCATAACACACAAGACACATAACACAATTTTAGGAATAGGACTTGAACCATAAATACAGAAGCAACATCATTTTAAAATAAGTACATAATAACAATATTTAAAATCTATATACCCTTGATAATATTTTGTAATATAATAAATTTTATATCTTCTCTAAAAGACATTCCGTGTTTACTAAAGATACAATAATGTATAGAGTAATAAGATTGTCTGAGGCATTTCCCCTTATTCATTAAGGTAAATAAAACCAGTTACACTTACTAAGCCACTAATCTCTCTGTTAATCACAGTGTAAAAACAATATGACAGAAAGAGACGAAAATTATGATTTCATTCATTTTCTACGTCACTTTATATGAATAAGGGGGTAAGATTCATAGACAACTTTAAGAGCAAACTAACTCTTATATCTGTCAAAATTTGATAACAATTTAACAGATACCAGAACTGGTTCACGCGTTAGAATTCCCTTGTAACCGACTTTATGATAACATCTTATAACATATTAAACTCTAGAAATTATGTATTTGAAGACAGCAAATTAGAAGAAGTTTGGCTATAAATAATGATAACTAAAATCTACAATAAATAAATGTAGACCGCAAAACTGTCCGAAAAAGTTTCTATATAAATAAAAATCAGTCTATTAACACTTAAGCATAAGTATACAGTAATAGTAAGTGAATACAGGGCTATCAGATTAAAATATGGTATATCAACTATGACAAAATGTAGGGGTAACCAACTAATATAGTTTTTTTTTATTTCCCAAATATTTAATTCCCCATTCATTTTTACAATAATCTATGATTGGCTCATAGATGGCCTAGAGCTTCATACTAATAATAATAAATTAAATTACATACACATGGTAGTTCCCATGTTACTAAAAACTTGGCCAACTTGCGTGCCAATACATACTATTATTTCAACATACATCTGATAACACTGTATTCACTATGTAATAAGAGATATTAAAATTGTAAAATTTCTGTATACATTTAGATTGTATATGGATCACAGGATCAGCCAGTTATCATGGCTTTTATAATCAAATTTTCTTAATACATTTTTCATGAATATATAATAAATATGATTAAGTAGAGATTATAGATATTAGGACCAATTCATTTAAATACACTATATGCTGTAATAAATTTATAGTAAAATATTCAAATTGGTCCAGTAGCTTTGCGTTTTTCCACAACAAATTATAAATTTTGGAAAATTTTCAAATAAATAAATGTGATATAAATAATATTACTAAAATGTTTCCTCGCTTTAACATGAACAAAAGTTTCGGTCCTGTTTGGCTTGGAGCTTTTGTAGGGATTGACGACGGCGTCCAGTCGCACACAGCATTGCATACTCAACTGATGTCTCCATTCTTTAACAATGTTTTATTATTATTAATAACAATAAAAATCCAAAGGTTTGTTATTGTATTAAAAAACAGATATTAAGCATTGAGATGCTAAGTTCTTTTTTGACACAATAAACGGATGTAAGCCAAAGTATGAAATTAGTTGAGCCTTACAGTTCAGAATGCAATTCTTAAATTGCATACCTATGGTTGTGCATTCAAAGTCTATGGCTAGGCATTAACAGCTTTTCTTTTTATATGCAATATTAAAAGGATAACATGAGAAATGTGGCATGTCTTAAGCCAACAAACTTCAGATAAGTTAGCAAGAAAAGGCAATGAAAAATATAAATAAAACAGGTACAGGAATGTCTTCTTCCAAGCCCCATTAGGGGTTTTGAAACTTCCTACTACACTATAATAGTAACTAAGACACTTTTTGAATACATTCATTAGTTTTTGAAGTTCAGAACATGGTCATATATGAGTTTATTTCCAGTTTCTTCACCCCTGATTTAAGAATTGGCAGTATTGAAATAAATAAAAAACTTTAATTGAAATTTTATAACTTAATGTAAATTTAAGTGAACAATCTAAAAAATATCTTGATTTGCCTTATATAGAATTACCTGAACATGACTTTATCAAGAAGAATCTCAATGGCTCGATCAATATTCTGTCCAGTTTTGGCACTTGTCTCCAAATATGGAAGATTGTAGTTTTTAGCAAACTCTCTTGCTCTATTTGGGTTGACTAATCGCTTTTCTTGAAGATCACATTTATGCCCACACAGTACTATATCTGGATCATCGCTAAGGCTGTGTGTCTGAATAAATAACATGTGCTAATATTAATAAATATATGATATCTCTATTAATTTCAATTAAATTTATATGCTGATGTTAGCTTTCATTTTAATAATATGATAAGGATCAATCATTTAATAAAGCTTATCTCTTCTAAAGATAAATATATTTATACTTATGTCTTTATTATAGTGAGACTTGACCAATATTAAATGAACTATTTTAATCTCCAACTACAATGCAACCATCTATTTATACTATCCTAGATTATTAGAATGTTTTTTAAAATGCATTTATATAGGTCATACATGCACAGGGCCCTAGGACAAATATATAATCTTTAACCACTGCTCAGACTTATTCATCAAAAATATTAAGTATTAGTTGCATTATTATAAGACCTAAAAATTAAGGTTAGATTAATTAGTGATCTAATATTTGTATTTGTATGGCCCCTTTTAAGGTAATGCAAAGCCATGGCAGATCAAAGCCTGGAAACATATAGAGATTTTTATAATGACTCACCATCAGAAAAACCGCAAGATGAGAAAGTTTTAAAAAACTCACCTTTAATTGCTCAATCCAGTTTCTCACTTCAAGGAATGATGCCTCATTAGTTAAATCAAACAACAAAAGAAATCCCATAGCATCTCGGTAAAATGCTGTTGTCAAACTACGAAACCTGGAAATTATAAATAATAGAGCTAATTAAAGCAATAACTGTTGTAATGATATTGCACTTTAAAAGAATAATGTTTATTACAATTGTCTCTGAAAACATTGATTTTTGCTTAAAAGGGATACTAAAATTTAAGCTTACATTTAAGAACTTTTATGTAAATATGAATCAGTTACATTGCTTTTAAACATTAAGTTGAACTTAAACTTTATTTTACCTTTCCTGCCCAGCTGTATCCCAAAGTTGAAGATGTATACGATGCTGTCTTCCATTCTGTTGATAAATCTGAAATAATAAGTTAGCTTTTTAATAAATAAGATATGACCATTGTGGATAAACTAATAGATTTTCAGCAATTTCCAGATAGTAAAATGTTTAAATATTTTAATTGGGCATTCTAATAATAAATTGTATGTGAGTATAAAAAAATATACTACGTACCACAGTCTTTTCCCTAAAATCTATTCCCACTGTGGAAATAAATTGAGTGTGAAAAACACCGTCAGTGTATTTATAAAGAAAGCTCGTTTTACCTACTCCTGAATCACCAACACATAATAATTTTATAAGGTAGTCGTAGTCCATATTGGATTTGTCATAAGGTATACGTGCCTTAAGTGAAAGGTAGGTTCTTTGTTATTAATGATTGTTAAAATAAATTACTTATTGTTAACACTTGTTTTCACTTTAAGTCATTTAACATTGATCAATTATTATAATTTTTTACTAAATACAAATAGTAACTATAGTCGAATTTTTAATTAGACGAAGCTATCTGACAGTAGCTAATGTCACTTAGTAAAATAATGTTGCCACATTTAAAGTAATAGTGATACATTCAGTTCTTGTTCAATCAGATGAATGAACAATGAGTGAGTGTGAATAGTTAATCATTTCAAACTATAAAATAATATTATTACTATTTTAAAATTGTATAAAAGATTTCTGATATAACTTAGGTACTAGTAGTATGTAACTACAATCAGTTTTTTGACGGCTGTAATACAGAGCGCGGCGAGGCGACTAGTGCCAACACCGATCGACGCCGCGCGCGTCGGTCGCCATTTTGTTTGTCATTCGGCTTCTAACCTCTGGTCTGATAGCACGAATGTTTTTTCTGCGCTCACGCTGTTTAGTTATAGTTTTTGTTAAGTTTTTCATTACGTTGTGTTTGTGGTTATTGTTGTTTTTTTATTTCTATATTGTTTCGTAAAAACGATATGGATCCTCAACCAAGCACGTCAAGCCAAAGCTTGTCTCCAAGAAAGAAGAGACCACGGATTGCTTTAAGCGTTACCGAAAAAGTTATGATACAAAACGTCTACAAACACGTATTTGAGGAGAAAGCTGCTTTACTATTACCTATTGAGGCTCCCGAAAAAAAGAATGTGTTTCGAAAACAGCTGACATTTTGGGAATTAGCGTGACCTCAGTTTACAGTGTATTAAAAGAATACAAAGAAAATGAACAATTTAAGTCTCCCGAGAAACGTGGACCGAAACACAATTTCAAAGATAAATTAGACGATTTTACTTTGGCCGCTATAAGGCGAAAAGTTCATAATTTTTTTTATGCAAATGAGTCACCCACCATTATAAAGGTAACAAACTTTATTCCATCGACTGCATTATATTCTGTGTCCACAATAATGATCTTTGTAAAACCAAAGTATTAGATTGCGTAGACTTCCTTACTCAAAAACGTTTTTTTATTACTTCACAGATTCTTAAGGTTGTCAATGAAGACCCAGACTTACCCAATTTTTCTTGGAGTACATTAAGAAATGTTATGAAACATTTAAATTTCAAATATGTCACAAAATCAAGAAAAAGCATGTTAATTGACAGACAGGACATTATGTTATGGCGCCAGCGATACCTTCGCAAAATTAAAAAGTATCGAAGGGAAGGAAGGTATATTTATTACCAAGATGAAACCTGGATCAACGAAGGTAATTACAATTTTCTGTTTTCTTTACATTAAATTGTACTTTCATTAACTAATTGTTATTTTTCATTATCTTGTAGGTCATGCACCGAAGAAGGCATGGATTGACCAGACAGTGTTATCGACTCGCCAGGCCTTCCTAGATGGCCTGACTACTGGCTTAAAACAGCCTTCAGGAAAGGGCAAACGATTAATTATCGGCCACATAGGTGGGGAAGAAGGATTCGTAGAAGACAGCTTACTAATATTTGAAGCCAAAAAAAGTAAAGAAGACTATCATCAAGAAATGAATGCCGATTCCTTTGAGAAGTGGTTTAGTGGAGTCTTGCCAAAACTAAAACCAAATTCCGTTGTAGTGCTAGATAATGCCCCCTACCACTCCAGGAAACTAGAATCGCTGCCTAAAATGTCTTGGACTAAACCTAAAATACAAGAGTGGCTAACGAGCAAAAATATTTCATTCGAAGCAACAATGGTTAAAGCTACTCTTATAGACATTGTACGGCAGCACAAACAAGATCATTTCGAAAAGTATGTTGTGGACGAGATAGCAGCGCAGCATGAGATAATTGTTTTACGTCTGCCCCCATACCACTGTGAGCTTAATCCCATTGAGTTGGTATGGGCGCAGGCTAAAGGATATGTTGCAAAAAATAATAAAACCTTCAAAATGACAGAAGTAAAAAAACTTTTTGAAGAAGGACTTAAACTAATCACACCTGATAAATGGCGTAGCTGCGTGTCTCACATAATGAAAGAAGAAGATAAAATGTATGGTCTCGACGACATGATCGACAATGTTTCAGACAGATTTATTATTAATGTCACCGAAAGCGATAGTGATGATTTTTTATCTGATGATGAATAAAAACAAATTATGTAATAAGCGATGTTTATTATTTTCATTACCAACCTATAATTGTTATATTATTAAACATCTATAGTATAAACTACATGATATATTGAGAATAGGACAGTCTTACAAGTTTCCTCGCAATGATTTCCTTAATGTTAAAAACAATTGGTATTTAGTACTAAACTCGTTGGTATGTTCAAAGCACGACTAAAATTCGAACCCGTATCCGATATCGGCAGTACGCAACGTTAACTATTCACTAGGCAATCGAGGCAATTTTATTAATTCAGGAGTTTTTTCAATCATTCACAAATCATGTGACAAACACAACACTATTTTTATTTCATTAAAAACTGACAACACCGTAAACGTCAGTTGATATCGTCTAATTAAAAATTCGACTATAAACAGTAAACTCATCTGTGATCTGTGCAGTGAGTACTCGATATTCGACATAGTCACAGATAAGCTACGCTACAATAATTTTATTTCAGATTTTACTAACAATATTTTTAAGATATTTCAAAAGTTTCATTGGTTTTCAGCTTACAATAAAAATAAACATAGAAACCATGCTAAAATAAAAAAGTAAATATAGAAAAATATTTTTACTAACCCCATACTAATAAGTAGAATGGAGATGAAACAAGATTTGTCATGTTTTATCTAGATTATCTTCCTATATTCTTGGGGTCTAGCCATATTAATGCCGAAAAGTTTTCTACATACACTACTGCTTTTGCGTAATTGTATTGTTGAAAACGCAACGTTCGCAGCCAAGAGACGCGTTACTACACTACCGCAAAGTCGACAGCGTAGTTCCGAGCTGCTGTTCGTAGCAGTTAGCACCTTATTCTGTCATATTGTCGCTGGAATAAATGTATTCCTAATGTCACATTTATAAACCTAACAAAAATTTAAAACTTACAATTACATACTAACAATATTATTTTCGATATAACTGGAATTTATAGAAAGGTAAAAAGTGGCATAATATATAAATTTAAATAGCATCTTTAAATTAACTTACTATAGTCGGGGTCATGTTAAATTTAAGGTTAAAGTCCAAGGAATTAAAAAACAATGTGAAAAAAAACAGACTAGTGTGAACACTGAAATTAGTGTTTGAGCTTTGGGTTTGGTGTTCGTGAATTGTGATTGAACATTTTCAATGTTAATTTTAATGCAGATTTCTGTTATGTATACCCATAAATCTGATGATGATTCTCTGTTTACGTATACTCATAAATCCAATTTCAGATTAAGTTAAGTAGTAATTTATAAAAGTTGATTGTTTAAATAGGGGTACCGAATTATAGCAAACAGCAGCTTTTGAGATAACGCAAAAACATGGACGATAAATGCCGTTTAAACATTAATTGGCCGTTGACTACCGAAAAGCGTTAGCGTTAATGTGTATCTTTTCGTAGCGCTGTCATGGCGTCGCTTATTGTATCCCGACTCACGCCATTTGGGTCTAGGCTAGCGACTGTCGACGCGAGCTGTCATTTTCATATAAAATTACTTTTTGACTATCTACAATCTACATACACTGCTGTTAAGGCGTCTTTTCTAGGCCCCCTTAAACCCTACTATAATATTACTTTTTACTATTCTGAATAATTATCTTTGAAAAGAAGAAACAGACATCAGACAGTACATTGTACAAACATCTGGATATTATGATTTAAAAAATCTTAGTCTTAACTCTAGTCTAGATTAGCATTGTTGAAATTCAAGAATTTTTTTATTGATAAAATGAATAACTAAAAAAAATAATAATATTTTAATTTACAGTTTTTTTATATATATTAGGTAATGGAAACAAAAACAGAATTAAAAAATAAAATGATTCCCAAAGTAGATGTGGAATATTGGTTAGTATATTATGTAATATTTGAGGCCTGTATGTTATAAATAATAACCTAAACTAAAATGTTTTAGTGGATCCTGTGACTATGGAGGCCATTGTTTGACATTAGCAAAAATGATTAATGATAAAACTCCAAGTGCTAATATTTATTGTAAACGAGGTCGACAAGGTTAAGTACCTAATTAATTTAACTTTTACAATGTCTTTTTATTTAATTTAAAGCAGTGAAATACCTTGTCCTGTACACCACTATTGACACATACGAGTGAATTCTCACACAAAACAATTATCTTGCCTAGAATTACAGCTGTATCATCTAAATTACATGGGATTGAACTGCTTTTCATCAATATATTTTATTACAACATACCTCTTTCAGGATCATTTGAAGTAGTAATTAATGATAAATTAGTGTATTCAAAACTTCAAACGATGGCTCTACCAGATTATGAAGAAATTGTAAATGTTGTTAGTGACGTTTCAAAAGGGTTGGAACCTAAGGAAATAAAAGGCCAACAACCAATTAATTGTGTCATTCAATAGATATATTTAGAAAATCAACAACATGATCAAACTTGAAACACTTAAAACATTGTAAATACTGAAATATATGTGTAAATATATATTTGTTATTAATTTAAAAAAAAAACGTATATCAAGACATCAAAAGAAACCTAACAAGTATCTATATATGTAACCTTAAATTATGCTTTATAGTGAAGAGATTATTTCTAATTATGTTTAATATTAGTTACTTCAGACCTACTTTCCTAGAATTCTATATTCATCTACATCACATCTTTCATATATATATATATAAATTTATATAAAGTGTATATGTTATGTAAATAGTTAAATCACAGTTTACTTTAATAGAATATAAAATAATAATGGCAAGACAAAACATTTAACAACCATCATCTATAACTAATAGAGCCAATATGAATTATAAAAAATAGTAGCTATTAAAGTCATTGCTATCAAAATATAAATTACAGAACAACTGTATGTTAAACAACAATTAGTATGGTAAATCTCTTACTTTTCTTAATATGTCAATGCAAAATCACTCTTACATACTTAAATTCGTTTAGCTGAAATAGATTTGTTATACTAAATAGAGGAAACTTCTTTCAAATTGACAATGTATAGAAAGGTATTATTACATAAGATTATATATACTTACTTTTAACATTTACTTAACAATTCTAATTATTTTTTTATTAAATTCGATTTATTAGCAATTGAAATGAAAAAATGAAAATGTTAATTTGTATCTCAAATTTTACATTAAATACATGAGTTGAGACAGCCCCTGTAAGTAGTCAGAGACACTTGTGTTTGGCAATTAAAATTATTAAAAAGGTAAATTTCACCTAACAATCTTGAAATATTTGGGGAAACTGAACTATCATAGCCTCCATCCTTAAAGATTAAATGTTAATAGTTGCAGAGAGAAAAAGGGTGCAATATAAACTATAAGCTCAAAATCTTGACAATATTTCACTGTTAGTAGATTTGAATAAAAAATCTAAAACTTTTTAACCCTACCTACTAGTATTGTCACTAACATCATTGTATATTGGTACTACTTGTGCATATCGTTTCAAAATTGAAGATTTTGAACCGTTAACTGCGCCAGCATAGCTCAAATAAATTCCAAAGCGAAGTTTTCCAGCAAATTGTTCAGATATTGTTCTGAGGGGCTCAACTGTCTTCTGTCCTGTTTTTTGATCAATGCAAACCATCTGACAGCGTGGACACTGGCCATCAATCTGAAATTACAAAAATAATTTTAAGGAAAAGCATAGTATGATGCAAAGTAAACAACATTACAGTTTAAAACAATTCATAGTTAATGTAAAACTGCTAACATTACGGCAATGATATACTAATCTACCACTAACATACAAACGTGGTTCAAATTGGCAGGTACTTGGGACCTAAATCCTAAATGTCAGTAGTTAATTCCACGAATCAAGTGCTATTTTCTTGTGACTGCTCTTATAAATAGAAATACTGACGACTCGTTACAACTGTGACGTCATACTTGACTTACGTTAAACAAGTGATCTCCTATGATAACTTTCTGCCACTCCTTCTCTGCTAGCTCTTGTGCCATATCTATTATCAAGTTACCTCTGAAGCGATCAGTTAACGAATCTATGTCATCCATGAACAAGGGATCATCTATTTTATTTCTCAACCATTTTACTGTAGCTTTATTTACTAGTAGAAATTGGGCTTGGTTACTCAATGATAATAGTTTATTACTACCATCATTTTTTTTCTTTTGTGATCGAGTGTCGTTACTTGACTGTCTTATTAATCTCAGAAATGCTATTCCTAGAGCATTTGAAATCCAATCTGCTACAGCGTCGCCGCAATCTGTGCCCTTTATAATATCAGTGCAAACTTTACTATGACAAAGTGATGATTCTTTGTACTCATTTGAGATTTGCTCTAATGGTATTGATATTGAAGGCATTCCTGAAATTAAATAGTACAGGCAAGGTGTAGTTAGTTTAAGATATAGTTTTTCTAATCCGGCTACTGTGTTTCTCAGTTTACAAATTTTTGAAAGTGCTTGGACACTTGGACTTCTGATTGTAGTTGAAATCAGAAGTCCAAGTGGGTGAAGTCTTAAGCACCGAATAACTAGATTGAGACTTTAGTAGAAAGTTCTTAAGTTTGATACCAATATGATATATCTATATAGGTTATATATATAGTTACTTCTTTTACCAAAAGTAGTGATGGCAACATTGATACCACTATACTCTAAATCTTTCAAGTTTCGCTTACAATCAAATTTCTGTGTACAACTGAACTTAGTTGATCACTTAGATAAAAAATAGCCTAGCAGAAGTCACCACATATTTGATACAAATAATAGGGATTTAGACTGATTTTATCAACAAAAAAAAAACTATGTAGGCCTAGAACCAATAATAATAAAAGAGTGTTTTCTTAAGACCCTTCCTAATTTAACCTACCTTGACAATGTAACATCATACATTGCCTTTCCAAGTTGATTTCAGGGCAAACTGTACACATTTGTGGGCATTGCTTCTGTGTTAGGCAAACACCATTATCCTTAACAACCATCCATTCTCTATCAAATTGAAATCCCTTAGGTCCGATTTTCCAGTGTCTATTAATTTTAAATGCCCCACAAGATTTTATTGGAAATATCGCAATTTCCATTAAAGTAATATCTGATACTCCTGTATAAGTTATGGAATTACTATTTGAATAAGATTCCTCATTTAATTTACAATTTTCAAGCTGCTTTTCTATTATCGGTGTTCGACCGTTTTTATAAATATTCAAAGTTCTTATAGGTTTTTCAATTTGAATATTAACAAAGCATTTACATATCATATAAATTAATTTATCAACATCTCGAAATGTGTTATAATATCCAAATGAGACTCTTATAGCTCCAGTAGGCTTTCCTTTAAGTAAATCAATGTCATCTCCACATTTATGCCCAGCATTATACATAGCCTTCATACTTTTATTACTGACATTTAAATGCCTTTGACAAGTGCCTGAATTGCAAAAGCATCCTGTTCTCACGCTGATGTTAAATAAGTCGGCCATGTGCTGAAACTACATATAAAATGTTAAATAGTAATATTGTTAAGGGATTAAATATGCTAGTACTACTAGATATTTGAAGGAATTCATAATAGAAAACTAGTTTTATAGTACAAATAAAGTAAATTCTTATTATCTTTTGTGTGTTTGTACAACTGATAGTTTTATTACCAACAATTGTTTTCTGAAATTATTTAATATTTATATTTTTTTATATGCAAGTATATAAAATGTCATATTTGATTTAAATACAATGTTATTTAATTACAGCATGTCTATGCCGAATTTAACCTTTATATAAAAACATATATTATATATTTAAAGACTAGACAAAAGCATAGTATACTAACCCTACAACCCCTACTAACAAAGTATTTGGCTACAGCATGAGTGGGTTAACATTACAATAGAATAAATCTTGTGCAAGAATGAGTAGGGTATATTATTATAAACAAACCTCAGCATATCCAACAAATACTCCATTCTTTCTCTTTAAATTGAATGTGACAATGGATCCTTGCTTAGAAATATCTGTAAAATCTGAATCCATATACAAATGTCCAGCTTTATTTCCATTTTCATGTGTTAATTTCTTCAGTTGATTATAGAAGTCTTGAGCTAAATAAAATGTGTGATGGGAAATAGTCTCCATAACATCATTATTTACAATTTTTGGTATTAAGGAATATAATGTGTCAAAGCAGTGCTTTAAAGCAAGAATAGATAAGAAAGAAACTGTTCCATCTTCATACCTGAAACAGTAATAAATCTGATTAATTATATCACTTGTCCCATTTCAGACCGCTTGTAGGTGCATGGAGCATGTAGTTGTATTCTTTTATGATTAAGTTCTAGATTATATAAAATGAATACAAAATTACAATGTTTTACTACTTCAAAGACTCAACACTGCCAACTTATTGCAATACCTACCTTTCACATATTGTTTCTCTCTTTATGTGGAAGTCTTCACTACTTAAAACAATATCCACTGTACCACCACCAAAGTATTTCTTCTCACTTAAAATTGGTATACTTTTATTTTTAACTATAAGGGCTCCCAGTCCAGTTGGATATCCAAAAATTTTATAGAATGATAGACATACAAAATCAGGTTGTGTCTCTGATAGATCTAGTTTATTGGTAGAAACATATGAAGCTGCATCAATTAGAATATACCAGTTGCAGCTTGTTCCACATAATTGTTTTTTTAGGTAACTATTAAGACATCCATTTTTAATTCTATCTATGCAATCTAAGGGATATTTGTACCCATTAAAATTATTTTGAGCCGGATATGCAAGAAGGGAGTTGCCTTTTCTGTCACTTGATGCATTCAAAGATGTTACAGAATTCTTAATAGATTTTAAAAACTCCTCTCGAGAAATGTGTACAACATTAACACTTTTTTCTTTAGCTATTTCTCTTAAACCAATAACAGATGTATGGTTATCTCTTAAGTACACAAAGGAACCTTGATTCAATTCGACTTCCTCACTTGAGAATTGAAATGACTCTATAACTAGTTTTAGTGACTGTGTTGTACCTGATGTAAATATCACAGTGTAATTGGATGGATCAGTATTAAAGTGTTTTAGTATTAAACACCTTATTTGTTCAATACAGTCTTTGGTATATTTATCTGAATGTGGATTCATATATACATTATTAGTAAAATCTTCATTAATTTTCTGAAGAAGTGAAGCTGGATATAATGCAGCCCCAGCATTTTCTAAATAGCACCTTTCTGAAAAATATAATTAGCGGATAAATGTTTTGAAACATTTTAACTCTTTGATATTTGGATGTATAATTTAATTATTACCTCTTAATCTGCAAAATTCTTTAGAAATATCTACCATTTGGTCATAATTCAGGACTTTGCTGAGCGAAATCATGATTCTTGATACCTAAAAACACACATTGCATTACATAAACTAATTTCAATTATATAAACTAGTTTGGTTAATGATGAAATAATAACATTTAATTAGAAATTTATTGAATTATGTGACTGTTTTCCTTACTGAGAATGGTTAAGAACACAAGTATATAGCTGCCTCTTTTAATTTGAACTATTACATTATCATACATGATACACTATTAGATCATATATTTAATCTCGTAAGTCGTAACTAGTCGGTTCCTATTTATTGCTTAATATTTTTAATATATGTACTTCTTAATTGTAATAACATTTGGACTGTTGACTGTTAAGTGTTGAGTGTTGACTGTTGTCTGTAATCTGTATGTATGTATTTTTTTGTAGTTTGTACTTTGTACTACAACACAGACAACAGACATATAGGCTATGCAATATGAACATTGAATTTTAACCTACATAGCACCACAGATATACACTAAGATGGTTTGATGTTTGAAGTCTGACCATTCGTGATTTCTTGCGACAAGTCTTGATATGTCAATATTAGTGATCAGTGTTATAGTGCTTTTCATGAAAGAAGTCCCGCGGATATTTTTGGAACTAAATTTGACAGGTCGGCAATGTTGTCATTCGTCGATGTTATCAAGTTCGTTTGTTGTGGTAGATTTTTGTGAATTTTTAACTATCTTAGTGCATTTTAAATATTGATTACAATGCCAAAAGTTGTAAAAAGTTCGGCTCGAGAATTGATATTAAAGGTGAAAGAGTTCTGTGAAGCGGAACAAAAGAATAAAGGTGTTTTAATACCACTAAACAATGTTCGGAAGAGAGTTGCCGCCATAACAGGTACTTTTTAGAGTTGCCATTTAATAATTTTTTTGCTGTATTGATGGGAGTTTTATGATAATATAAATTCGTTTTTACGACAAAATTGAACAAATACATAACGTGATGAAACTAGGTAACTGAAATTAAAACATATATTACATAAGCATTATAAACTTAAAGTTACTATTATTTTTAATTGTTCATAATTTAATTGCAGGTGTGTCAGAGAAAACTGTATCAAGAATTACAAACGAAGGTGTAACAGCGGCGTGTACTTCAAAAAAAATTGTAACCCCGGGGAAGAGTCGCCCGCATCCGAAAAAGTTCGACTTAGACGGGTTCGATTTGTGCGCTATCCGGCAAAAAATTTACAGTTTTTACGTCGTACATAAAGAATTACCAACATTGGTTAAATTACGGGCAGCTCTGCGAGAGGACATCAATTATCAGGGAAGCATCACAACATTGCACAGGATATTAAATAGAATTGGTTTCAAGTACAAGCGATGTCAATCCAGACGAAAACTACTTATGGAACGCCACGACATTACCGCATGGCGTGCAAGATATTTGAATAAAATACGAATAAATCGCACTGTGGAAAAACGACCAGTTGTATACTTAGATGAGACCTATATACACAATACTTATCATACAAAACGTTGTTGGCAGAGTGAGGAGGAGCCAGGAATGTTCGTCTCAGAATCATCAGGGAGTCGCTGGATAATCGCTCATGCGGGAACAAAAGATGGATTCATAAATGGTGCATTATTAATGTTCAAATCCCAATCAAAGTCCTCAGATTACCACGATGACATGAACTCAGCAAATTTCTTAAAATGGGTGACGGAAAAACTAATACCTAATCTACCTGAAAGGTCGCTTGTGGTAATGGATAACGCTCCTTACCATTGCACTCAATTAAACAAAGCCCCTTCTATGTCAAATATAAAAAGTAGTATGCAAGAGTGGCTCCGGCAAAAGGGTATATATTTTGAAGACACCTGGACAAAAGTTGTGCTGTATGAGCTAATCAAACAAAATAAAGGTCCACCGATATTTGCAGTGGATGAATTATTAACAGCTCACGGACACGAAGTATTAAGGTTGCCGCCTTACCATTGTGACCTCAACCCGATTGAGAATATCTGGAGCCTTGTAAAAAGAAAGGTGGCGGATAAGAACGTGGCACAAGATCCAAAAGAAATATTAAAATTAACTAAAGAGGCCTTTGAGTCTATTACGGCTGAAGATTGGACAGCTCAGTGCTCGCATGTCGAACATTTAGAGGAGGAATATTTAAAAAATGACGGCCTTATGGATGAAGTGATGGACCGAATAATTATATCAACTGCTAGTGATACTGAAACAGAATCTGATTCTGTTTCAATACACTCTTCGGACAGTGATGTCCCTATGGCCGTTGATCACAATTATGCAATAAAACTCTGAATAAACAATTGTATTGCTTTTCTTTACCCTATTTTCTTATCTTTTCCCTGTAAGTAGGTAGAACACCGCAATATAAGTAAATAAAAATATACTTTTTACATAACAGATATATTGTTTCATCGAAGTACGCAGAAAATAGTATTATTTGATAAATTACATCTGCTAAATGTAAATAAAATAGGTAAATTTTTTACTCATAAATGGCAACATTACGTCATGCGATTGCAGCGCCGCGTCTGGGGGACTTCTTTCGTGAAAAGGACTATACTTTTCAATTTGACAAAAGCTAAAAGTGAAGGATCTGTTACTTTCTACAATATTGGCGCGCATTGGCAACATCTTAGGCGAAATCGGTTATTTTTAAAAAGGGAAAGCTATTTTTGGAGAATCTGCTAAATGCCAATGCCGAAAACAGATATAATATAATAGATTTTCAGCTTTTTTATTTTCCGTAATAATTAAAACTTCTTTTGGCTTATGATTTATAGAACTTAGGTACAAGTTATGAGAATTCATTGTCTGTTTCTTATAATTTACTCTCTATTAAGTATATATAAAAAATTAAGAGAAAATATTGCTTACATTTGATTTTCTATAATACAACAATGCAACATGATATTTCACCATTCTAAATATCACCCTAGGAATTAATATTATAAGTACATATACCGATATAGAAGCACCTTCCGCAGCATCGCCTTACTAAATTGAGTTACGGCAATTTAATTATTGCTTTTATGGAAGGCTTTTAGTAGCTTTTAGTAGCAAGCGGCCGTGATCGACTCCTCCTAAGTGAATTGACGTCCGTGGTAAAAGACACTCAACAGTTTTACATGAGTTAAAGACAGGATGAGCCTCTTAACCAAACAATTTATTTGATTTATTCATAAAACAAATCGTAAAGCGTCAAAAGCATATCACACATCTAGAAATTATTTTAAATTACACTATTATTATCTAGTAAATATTATGGTACATTATCAGTACCTTTTAAACACGGTTTAGCTAATTTACTTCAAATAGGGTATATTGCCTTATGATTAAATTATTTCGCAAGTTTGATTTAATTTCATTTAACGCATATTTTGTTTTTAAATTCTTACAGACTATTTTTTGTAGACTTTTTAAATTATTATAACTAGAGATATTAAAAGTTACTTTTACTCAGTACTTTATTAATCCACCCATGTACCTATTGCCAAGAGTTTTGTTTAAATAATTGAATTATTATATAGTTTGAATAAAAAATAAAGAAATATAAATATATGGAAAAAAATATATCCAATTTTTGAGATTATTATTCAGATTACATAAACCGTGAAATACTTATTTGCGAATATAACAATGCGAGGCCACCTGTTATGCGGAAATAGGGGTCATCAAATTGTACGCCACATATTGTCTCTTCATAACTTCTAATTAAATTACTTATTAAATATTAACTAATGTCATAATTAGTATATTTATAGATATTAAAGATAATTTTAAAATTTAAATCTTAAGTATGTTTCTCTTGATCAAGACCCTGAGCATTGTTACTCCGTTTAGTATACGATTCTTACAAATAGTAAAACTGCTGAACAATTACATAATACAATTTGTCCAACTGTTTTCTGTATTTTATAATAATTATTTGTTTACCACGAAGGTTACCCACAGTTGTCGGAAAGTAATTTCTAGGTCATTTTAAAATTAAAAACAAAAATTCACGCACAACAGTATATGAAGAGAAAAGTCTACGAAACTTTAAAGATAAAGAAAAATATCACTTACATAGTTCAAGGCTCAATAGAAATCCAAACTATGGTAATTTTCAGTGGAATGATGTAGGGTGACCGGCACAATGATGCTTTTTCCGGCGTGGGTCGATATTTATGTAATTTTCTTTGGCTACAAGTATCATCGGGTTAATAATGGGCATTTGTGACAGGTAACAATGGTTGACAATAATGAGATTGCTCTCCGTTTATTGACATAGGTAGCTCATACCACTTGAACTGAAATGTTTACAAACAACGTGGAATATTTGGTTTGCGCGGTTGTTTCTCCTGTCAATATAATAACTCAGTGGCGCGTCAATAGTAAACATGGCGTGTGAATATTAATTTAAGGCAAACGAATTCATTTAATTTTCTAAATTGCGGTATAAAGCGGTAAATATGTATTTGCTAGAATTTATTTAAGTCTAAAACTATTGTAAGATACTGTGGTTCGTGCCGCTTAAACCTTGAAATTTCATGAATGATTTTAAATAGACATTATTCATGAACGTAAATACATAGTTAAATAATATGTATAAATTTATTAAAAAGAAAAATGTGATCCTAATATTCATTAGCTATTAAGGGCTTATAGTAGCAACGATTAGGAATAATAGGGACAGGATAGGCTGTGAAAATAAAAATAGGAGTTTCTTGACGCACGCAAAATGCAGTTGTGTATACGAAATACCAAAACTTTTAAATGTTTTAAAAATCACAGCGTCGATAAGAAACATATTATATCGAGCATTTCCGAGGCTAATAAGTTCACATTTTTTTATAACTAGTTTTTTTCACCTTGCATGGTCAAGATTATAATAACTTGACATTGGTTTTGGCCACAAAGTGTCAATAGCTTCATCTACTCCAAACTGTTAAGTCGTTATTAAACAACTCGCGAAATGAGATTTGTTCACGTGATTGATATGGTGATATTTTTGCTGCTATCAATGGACATAACTTGTTTTCTAGT